CTGGGAGGGCGACACCGCATGATGGAGCGGGTGTTTACTCCCCACAAACTGGTGGTGCAGCCAGGAGAAAAGCCTTGCTGCTTTGTTCTTCCAGGGGCAGCCACTTTTTGTGGAAAAACCAGACCCCAGCACACAGGGGGATGTGGCAGCGCCCACTCCGGTTATGTGGTTTCCCCACGTTGTTTGTCTCCTTGCTCGTTTGCTCCATTCGAAGAGTTTTTAATTGATATCCGCTCAGATCCGCTGCCAGAAGAGCTCTCCAGAGGGGAGCACCACGCGCGATGCTCGGAGGGGATGCCCAGCACCAGCTGCAGCCTTGAGGAGAGGCAGAGGAAGGCTGAGGTTGTTTTTAATTGCTGACGAGATCCGGGTTTAATTGCTGGCTCTTTAAACTTTCCATAACACTTTGGCTGAGGCATTACCATTCAGAACCACTTGGCAGTGAGCTGCCAACCCCCCGGGTAATTTGGGAATCCGGTGTTTAAACACCTCTGTGGATCTGGGACCCGATTGAGGCTGGCAGTTTATTCTGCACAGCGACACTTTTCCTCTCTCTGCTTCACAATTCCCACCTTACCTGCTCTGCTGTGAGACCCTCAAGGCAGAGGCGACTTTTTTAGGTGCTTAATAAAATGGCCTTCTGCACAGCTCTCTGCTTTTCAAATTTCCTAATACAGAATGGGTTTTTTATCATGTAAAACTCCTGAGGATTGGGTGTTGTTGCTCTCTGCTGCTTTGACAGCTGCTGCGTTTCACCCAGGAAACAGCTGCGCTTGCGTGAAGCACTCGGTGTATTTTTGTTTGACAGAAGTGCCAATACGTGAGTTGAAAAATCTAATTTTAGGTGCCTGGGTCTCTTTTCTGAAAGGATTTGTTTATTTATGTGCCCTGTGAGCAGGGGTTGACATCAGGGTTGGCACAGATGGTGCCACACGGACGCTGCAGCTTCCTACCATGCAACACAACATCCCCACATCTCCCCCCGAAACTGCCAGGGAAGGAGGAGAGTCCAGCCAGGAGGCTTTGATGTAAAGTCTGGGGTTTTTCAATGTCGGTACTTCTCTTCAGTCAGCAGCTGGCGAAACCACAATTGCCAAAAATAATACTGAGGCAGAAATACCTTTTTGGTGTTAGTTTTACATCATTATCTTTCTGTACTGAGGAGGGAGCACAGGGAGCTGCTGGTGCTGGGAACATCTCGGCTGCTGTGAGAGAAGGCTTCATGAAAGACCCCTCTGCTCTCAATCTAACACTCACATCTCACCTCACAGAAGAACGACTGCAAAGAACAGAAATTTAAAATCCCCCTGCTCACCCTCTGTGAAAATTAACCGAGAAGCAGCTAGCACTGAGTCAGAGCTGAGATGCACCTGCAGCTCCAACGGCTCCAGCGGCTAATCAGGAGTTTCCCATTCCAGCAAGAGCAGAAAGCCACATTTCCCATCATAAATCCCTCAGCGAGCTCCCCATCCCCACCTAGAACCGCACAGTCCGGATATAAATCACTTGCACCCAAACACGCAACAGATCTCTTGGCAGTGCTTACGCTCGAGTCATTTGAATGGCTTTGATGTTGATTGCAATTACAGCTGCGCTGGCTGCGTCCTGATTATTATCATTAGCTGTTGATGTAGCCGAGGCCCTCGGTGGTGGGGAGTGGGGCTGTGCTGGCAGTGGCACCAGGAGGAAACCATTTTCAGGCTCCCTTTGCATGGGAGTCCCCCGGGGACGTCCGCAGGGAGCCACGACGCGTGGCACTATTTTGTCTGTACCCATCCTGCTGCCTGGCCCCACAACGTGACTTGGGTCCCTTCCTGCTTCCCACACGTCCACCCCACTCCACTGTAATTCAGCCGGGATGCTAAGCACCTCCAACAAAAGAAAACACCCAATATAACAGGACTTTTGATTATTTGAGTTGGCAGGGAAGGTATAACAAGCAGCAGCGGCCAGAAGGCAGAGCCAGACCTGCTCTACTGTGAAATAACATGTGGTTTTGTTTAAAGAAGCTAGGGCTGTTTATTCCTGAGCAAAGTGAGATCTCCATCCCTTGGCCCCTTCACAGCAGGACTGGTCACTGCTCTGCAGCAAAGCTCAAAGGCAGCAGAACAGGGAGAGCATCTGCTTGGCCAGGTGAACTCCAGAGACCAAGCACTGAAAAAGCCCTGCTTATTCATCTCACTTGCAGAAATCATAGATCACAGCATGGTATGGGTTGGAAGGAACCTTAAAGATCATCCAGTCCAACCCCTCATGGGCAGGGACACCTCCCACCAGTCCAGGTTACTCGAAACCCCGTCCAACCTGGCCTTGGGCACTGCCAGGGAGGGGGCACCCACATCTTCCCTGGGCAACCTGGGCCAACCTTTACCTTCACAGTAAAGAATTTCCTCCTAATGTCTAATCTAAATCTGCCCTCTTTCACTTTGAAAACATCACCCCTCATCCTATCACTACCTGCTCTTGTAAAAAGTCCCTCTCCATCTTTCCTGTAGCCCTTTCAGGTACTGGAAGGTCGCTATAAGGTCTTCCTGGGGTCTTCTCCAGGCTGAGCAGTCCCAACTCTCTCAGCCTGTCCCCACAGTGGAGGTGTTCCAGCTCCTGATCATCTCTGTGGCCCTCATCTGAACTCACTCTAACATCTCCATGTCCTTCTCATGTTGGAGTCCCCAGAGGTGGACACACCACTGCAGATGAGCAAATGGAGAACTCCTTGTGAGCCAGCGCTGTGGTGTGACCTTCAGCAAAGTGCTGATTCATGCTGGAAGAAAGCATTGAGTACCCTCCTCTTCCTCTCATCCTAGCACCGGGGATGCTGGAGACAGCCCACGGGATGACCCCATCAGGCATGGCAGCACAGGGCAATGTCATCTCCCTTGCCCTCAGCTTCCTCCTGTCCCAAGAGGCTCTGTTCAAGGTCTCAGATTTCTCCTCAGCTGCACCAAAAATGCTGGAATAAACTGCCAGCTCAGTACCTTTTTATCCCCCTTCTCCTTTGACAAAGACTAATTGTAGACAATAGCTCTTTCTTCAGCAATTCTTGCTGCTTTCATGTGCCATGTAGGCTAAAAAGCACCTGGGATAATTTCAAGAAGCAAATGTGTTACAAGCAGCTACTTCTCCCCATGAGAAAACAGACAATAGCTCCTGCAAGAGAATTTCAGAGAAAAAGGAGCTGCTTGAGTATGGCAGCTGCTGGATGATACCAACCCCCATGATGGTCTCAGCACGTTATATTTTGTGCTGAATGCATACAGTATCTTAAAGCATTTCCAAACGAACATCCAGAAATTGTGTTGTAAGGCTGTTTAAGAAGAGGAAGCCCAGTGACAAAGAGAAAACTTGGCAAACTCCTGGGATCTCATAATTCTCCTACGCAATCACTCCTAGCAACTCACTATCCTTATGTTAAGGCTGATTTCTAGTGCTCAGCCTCCCTTTTCCTTGCTGTAGTTAAAAGTCCTTATTTTATCATCCTGTTCCAAGTGAATCTAGAAAACTAATCAGGCCCTTCATCTCCATGGAATTAAAGATCTGATCATGTCTCCTCTCTCATGGACTAAACCTGACAGTTTTTGCCCAGTAAGCTAGAAGAGAAAAGCATGGAAAAGATCTAAAAAGTCAGGTCTGATTTTCACAGCCAAATCCTATCTGGAAAGAGACCATGTTTTATTATGTATTCCCTGTGGTTTACACACTGTTTTGGTTCCTGTTTGGCTGAGATCATTGTCATAAAGCCTCAAACAAAGAAACAATTACGGCTTCAGCGCAATTCATGAGAAAAATGAGATCAATCGGGGCGGGCTCTGAGCCAAGCCCCAATGACCCACGCACATGGGATGCTGAAGATCTCGTTGCAGATATGCACCACCATCAGGTCGTTCATCTGACCTCTTTCAGACACCCTCAGCACAGGTACCCGCCATGACATTCACAGCCTGCACTGCCTCCTGGTGAGGATCAGGACATTGCTGGCAAGGCCGATCCTGCAAAGCCACTGCACCCCATCATTGACCACCATTGCAGTGGAGCCACGCGGCGTTACAAGGGGACAGTGAGCTGGAAGGATTCAACATCCACTTACTGTACCTTTATGTCCAAAAAATGTAGCTTTTGTGGGACTCTGGTGAGGTGGATCACTGGTGGGATCAGATTCAGCTGGTTTCTGTAACTGTAATGCAGTTTCTTTCATAAATCTTATCTACAGGCAGCACCAGGTTCACCAGCAATAACCATTTAAAAATACCAGTCAGGATGTGCTTTTCAAAAATAACAGAATCAAAGTCAGCCACCTTTTCAAAGTTAAACCAGTTAGGTTTGATTTGAACGTTTAAAGTGCATTTACACTCTCCAGTTCTTGTCCCCAAGTCTGGCAACAAGACATTTCTTTTTCCCATTTTAAATGGCAGCATTTTTAGTCAGCACCTCATCTAATTACGGGACTCCGGGAGCTGGGGCTTAAAGAGAAACACCAGGGATCCTGAGAGTAGGCAACACAGGGGACTGGTGTAGGGATGCTTGTCAGAAATCCAAAACAAAACCCAAAAAAACCCAAACAGGAACACCTTTCAGTTGAGAAACTGGGGACTCAGTGCAAGACCTACGATACCTGGAGAGCAAAGCCCTGTGTGGACCTGCAGGACTTCCCACCACTGCCAGGGAAAGCAGCTCAGAGTCTGTCCCCAGGCTGCACTTTGTATCATTATATGGCCTTGAATTTTCCTGTGGCAGAGGGAGACAGCTCCTTCTCCGGTGCAGCTTCATCTGGAGAGCCGGGTATTTCTCCTGGCTGAATAAAGTCCAGCACTAATTTACTCAGAACCTGATAGTTTTGCACTCAGCATTTGCTACTGCTTCTTTGCTCCTGCGGAAATTGTGTATTTCAGAGTCATTCCTAGAGAAGATGGGGAAAACCCAAACCACACGACCAGCAAGAACACCAATGCATTGGTGACAGTGGCAGCTGAGCATCACTAATACTCTTTATTCTTTCATTTCAGGTACTGCAGTCTCCACAAACTCCTCTGTCCACGCCGTAACAGGTACCTCCTGGGTTGTGATCTGCAATGACAAACCCTCTCCTTAGCACCTCTTGTCCCCGTCATCCCTTCAGCTCTTTTTGGCTATAATGGCCCCTTTCTGGACCATTCTCCCTATGGGGATCCCTCCAACAAGGAGCACACGTGGAAAACGTCACCTCCATGTCTCCCGGTTTGTGTTACAGGTCAATCCCAAACCACAGCACACAGCCCTGTTGTAAAGAGCCATACCTCAGGTAATGTTCATCTGGAGACCTAAAAATGCAGCTGGGGGGGCATCCTGGCTTGTAACCGGCCTGACCTTCAGTCCAGCTGGGCCACCAATAATGGGGTGCAATGGCCACTGCATGGCCAGCAATAAATGGGGTCACAACCCAGAAAACAGAGCTTCCCTGCATCACATTCACTGATCAGTGGTGCTCTCCTGACAAGCCTGACCACATCTGGGGTTTTTTAAAGCTAAAAACTTCCAGTGCATTGCACACCCACAGCACCTCCTGTACTACAGGTCAACACATTCTCCATTTCTCCAAGAGGAAAAGGGGAAGCAAAGGAAGAGGTTTGTCCTAAACTGTGCAACGTTTGTGTCAGCACAGGGACTGAACCCTGCCTTAGCTCTCATTCAGGTGTCCAGCTTCAGGACACCACCACGTGCCCATGGTCACAGAGAAGCCATGGAAATGGGCATAGGGAGGGGTTAGCAGACAGTTACACATTTCAGGCTGAAAATACACGAAACCAAATACACAAGAAGGGATCTCGCCAACTCCAGATCCACATCGGTCGCTCACTTGGATCTTTGGAGACAGACCCCTTTCAAAGCATAGCTACCCCTCCAAAGGGACCCCAAAAATACAATGGAAAAAAGATCTCAGAAAGAGCTCACATTCTGTTTCCATTCCTTGCAGAAAAAGAGAAACTTATTCCTAAATTCAAGCATTTTGGTGGAGCATTTGAATAAAGGGAAAAAAAAGAAAGAAAACCTTAAAACCATTTTCACTCTTTTCTCATTTTTATTAGACAGAAAAGTTTAGACAAAGAACTTGCCTGTAAGCGCCAAGCTGGTGATCCACTTTCCCTTGCAGAGGGCTTATTGAAAGCTTTTTTCTCCCCAGTTTTGTTGTGGATCCACAGGCTTCATGTTCTCGCTCTGCTGCTTTGAGCAGCAGGTGGAGGCAGATGACAGAGCCTCCAGACCACTGCGAGAACTGAACTGCTTCTCTTAAAGACTCTCAGTGAAACGAAACACAGAAGTTGGCAGATAACAAGCAAGCACATGGGTGCCAGGCAGCTCGAGCCAGTTAAAGTGTCCAGTGATAAGAACTTTTGAAGAGGGGAAAAAAGCAGTGGCAAAAAGTAGATTTTCTCCAGGTGTCTCCTGAGCTCTGCCACCTTAGCACCAATATACACCAAAAAAAGTGTAAAATGTAATGCCAAGCTCCCTGACTCTGAGCAGGACGAAAGCTATTTCCTTGTCTGTTTGTGCCTGTGCTTTCCCTAGCAGAGGATCCATAGCTCCCAAGGAGCTTAAGGACTCTTTGCAACAGCCAAACCTGTGTTGAGCAGAGCCCTTTGCAGTAACACTACGTTTCCTCCACAGAGCCCTCAGTAAAATCAACAGCACCGACCAACTTGAGTCTCACCTCTGCGGGTCAAACTACCACAGACAAAACCTCTTCCATTGCTACAACGCTGCTGGTGTTGACTGCGCGACGTAAGTATGGAAAACTCAATTTTTTGCTTAGGCAGGAGCTGTTTATGCTCCTCTCCTTATCCAAGCAAAACTGAGGGCATCAGAAAGACCGGGCCAATCCACGCCATGCTATTCATTCAGTAGCAGCAACTTCTGAATCTCTTTGAGTCCAAAAGCACAGGGATGGACACAACCATGACCTGGATGTAGCAGCAGCACTGCAAGCCCATATCAGAAAAGCCAGATCGTGTTTTACCAGGTAATGTTTTGTGGAGGAGCCTCCCCAGCCCTCTCCCACGCTCACCTCTCATGTACAGTCTCCAAGTTGGCCACACAGCTTGCTAGCTGCATATCTTCACCTTTGATTGCAGGGGAAGCTTCATGCAAACAGAGTTATTCTACCCCATGGAAACCTGGCAGCTCTCCAGAGCGCAGTTCATAGCAGCTTCAAGAGTTAATTCTCCTTTCCCATGTTTTCTTTATCCAGATGAAAAGTCCAGCGAAAGCAGAAGCACAGCGGCTTCACCACCACAAGGTACTTTGTCCTTTTTATGGAGTAACAGTATATTTAGATCATTTCATGGCAATTAGCTTACTTGGTTCACATAGTACAGGTTATCTAAGCACTTGTCTTTATCTTGGGGTTGAGCCATCAGTAACACCCAAAATCATGTCTGGTATCCTTACAAGCAGTGAAAAAACATGAGACCAAATGCACTTAACATCCTCTGCCTGGGATGAACTCGAACAGTTGAAAGACTGATCTACGTTTAGGAAAAGGGAGCCCTTGTATAACACCCTTTAAAAAATAACCACTTTGCTTTTGACACCTTGCTTAACCCAGCCTGTAAGCAAAAGTTAGAGAATTCAGTGAGAGTTTTCTCAGAATAAGGGCAGAGTCCAAGTGAGTGGGAAGGCTGAAATCTGACAACCGAGCTGATTCCCCACTGAAGATTCAGTCTCAAAAACCTGCAGTGGCCAAGATAGAAGTGGCTCTGCCTCTCCAAGCACCTCTCTGATCTTCTCTAACGCAAGCAAGGTTAAAAACCGTGGTCAGCCCTGCCTGCACAGATGTCCAACCAGCATGGCTGTGCCCAGCTAAGCCAAAAGCCCTTTGCATCAGAGCAGATTGCCATTAATTATAACCCTGCTTTATATCTGAAAAGCTCCATACATCTCTGACTACAGAAATGGTGCTGATGCTTCCAAAAGCGAGGTCTCCAGTTGTGTGAGACCAAACACTTCCCAGGGACACGGTATCCATGCCAGGCTCAGCAAACCACAGCTCCTGCCCACCGCCCGTGGCTGGATGAACAATGTCAGAGTGAAACAAAGGGTTTGATGACTGCCGAAAAAATTGTACAGCAGCGGTCCCTGCTTCTCAGGACTGTTCTGCTCCGTGTGGTTTCTGAACCAGTAATAGTTATTATTTCATACCTTTTCTCCTTTTCATACCATTTCTCCTTTTTCTTCTGACTTTCGGCACAATTACATCCGAAACTGATGTTTTCTGCAAGACAGGAACCCCAGTGGCAGCTGCACACCCTGCGCTCCACTGCAGTGCCAGGAGCTGCTCACTCTTCTCCAGGCACCACATACTTTTGGCCAATGCTATTATTGGGAAGACAGGGATGGGAAAGGAGGAAAGAAGATCCTTTTTGACCTACAGATGATCTTCTGGAGCTCCAAAGCACCATTTTTAGTCTCCTGACAGTGCCTGTAGCTGTTTGTTAAGGTCAATGCCGGTGATGTGGCTGTATAACACACACCCATGAGGCAGCAAAGCAGGTTTTTTTCTCTGTACAAGTGCAACACACAGAGTTTCAACTACCTTTAAACTTGCTTGCACAGGCATCTGCAAAGCAGATGTCACAAACCAAAGAGCTTCATATAAGCCAGTTTACCCCACTGAGAACTGGATGCCTTGCTCCAACCAACCTCTACGCTGCCACAGCCAGGCTACTATGGTGTACAAGTTATCCCAACCCAAACCAGCTTAATTACTTCTGGATAACCCAGGAGAGCACACCCACGAATTCCAAGGACAAGGACAAGATGAACAGTTGTGCCATGCCCATAATCTGCAGGATTTCTTCCCCTAAACAGATTTTTTTAAAAGTCCCAACATTTATGAGCAATAGCAAATCTATAACCTTCAATTGCTGTATCTGCCCCAAAACTGCATCTGAGACTGCAGAACCTGAACAGTTTATACAAAGGTATTTGAATTTTGATTCCCAGAGCTTCTATTTGGATGTGGAAAATAGTACAAAGTATGTTTGGTGGGAAGGTGTTAGCCCAAGTATGAGCTCCATGTTTTCCCAGATATCACCAGCATGACTGTGAACCCCTTCTCCTCTCCAGCATGCCCATTAATTCTTTTGGGTAGTAGATGACGCTCAAGGACAAGACTCACGTTCTGTGTTTCTCTACGCAGGTCAAGAGCCCAGGAGAAGTGAGAGTACCACAACATCACCAACACAAGGTGCTCTTTTCTTTCTCACGCAGAGCAATGGTTGTTGCTAACCCTTTTCACAGCCAACAGCAAGGCGATCACGCTGCTGCCTTTAAGGCAGCATGGTGACCGGCCAACGAGTACCTGGTGACCCCATCTAGCCCTTGAAAAGCCTGCAAAGCTGCACAGAAGCAGCACTTTGGGGCACCCTGTTGAGGCTGGGAACAATGGTTGCAGGAGGGGTCACACCAAGGCACTCTGATTCCCACATCGGTCTTGGTCACTTTGCTGTTAGCACTGACGGGGCTGGCTGGATCCAATGCTATTCTCTTCAGTAAAGAGTTAGGTCCTCTAGCATTGCTGCCTTGGAAGAAAGGCTGTTACCTAAAGCTCCTTTTTTCCCCTCTTGTAGGCACCTCAAAGCCCATCACCCCAACACCGAAGTCCTCTGATCACTTGCCTACACCCACTCCCACAGATGACAAATCACCGCTGACGGTGGCAGCTTTTGGTAAGGTCTTGTGCAAGCTGAGGAAAGGAGTGGGATCTGTTTTGCAGGGCCATGCTGTTTTGGGCACCCAGCTTCAAAGATGCATCGCCGGAGGTGACTCCATGGTTTTCTTCCTCTGCACGCCCAATCCTAGAGTTTTCAGAATGCAAGGGAAAACTCTTGAGAAAAAGACTTGTCACCAGCAGGCAATAAAGCACCTAATAAATAGTCCCAGTTGTGCCCAGTATGCAAGGGACATTTTAAAAGCCAAATGTTAACTTCCTAAGTATCATTTGCTTATATCCTCCAAGGGAAGCCACAAGAAATCCTGAAGCAGCTGTAACAGGACGAGGTTGCCATGCAAAGAACAGTTTGATTTACTGAGGCCAGATGTCAGAACCAAATCTGCACTTGGCCACTGGTTTATGAGGCAGAAAACATCATTCATGGTCTTTAGCTTGTCTCTCCTCATTATTTTATGTATTTACTTGACTTTATACACCTTTAGGATAATATTTACCAACTGCAGTAGGGACATACTCACTTCAATCAATCCCCAGTGTAATCAGCTGACTTCTGCACCCCTGGCACTGCCCTACCAATTAAGTATTGATCAGAAGCCCTTTGAGGGTAAAGGCATTTGCTCTACTGACTACTTACTTCTTTGCCTATTATGTACCATGCTCATTTTAATGAAAGTATTGATTTCCTACCCCAGTTGTGATGACAAAGCCTCCGCTACCCCAGAAGCCGAGGACAGGCACGTTGTTGTATCAGTCACAGACAGTTGTTTCCTCCATCCCCAGGTGTCATCAGCTTCATCGTGATCCTGATAGTGGTTGTGATCATTCTGGTCAGCGTGGTCAGCCTGAGGTTCAAGTGTAACCGCTCAAAGGACTCCGAAGGTATTTGCTTGGGGTGATTTGCCTTTCCCTAATCAAAAAGTCATCAGTTTCTACGCAGAAACTTTACGATTCCTAAAAGATGCTTTTAAAAATCTTACACGGTGTGGAGGTTTTGAAGCCAAACTGGAGCACAGATTCAGCAGCTAGAAATGCAGTGGGACCACCTATTTAGAGCCCCAGCCTAAACCCATCCACACGAGGAAACAGTCCCAGGTTTGCTGCAGTTAAATGTGGAGATTTCCAGAGGTGGGCATGAAGTCTGTCACTCCTTTTCCCTGGGAATCCCATTTCCCACTAAGCAGTGCCTGCTGGAGTGCGAGGCAGCAGCAAGACAGGTAACTGCCAAAATACCAAAGGATGGCAGCGACTAAACAGGCAGCAAAGCATTCGGTCCTGCCTGTGTGTCACGTTAGCTGAAGAATTTTCTCTACTCAACTCTCAAGTATCCCCCGTGGTGTCTCTAATCTCATTTGGACTTCATTTATAACCCTGTACAACATAGTTCTGAATACAGCTGACTTATTTTATTGCTTGGCTGGGATGTTTTCTCACCTGTACATCTTCAACTGCTTTTCTCCCTCCAGACAAGCAGAAACCAGGGACCTCCATGGTATCAGAGAGGTAAGGCTGCTCACACTTTGACAACCTAGTGAAAGTGCCTGCTTCATTTCAGAACTAATTTTAGCAAGGAAAAGAGGCTGCTTTGGTTATTTCAGGCGCAAGGAAGCATTTCCTGTAAAACCCCAAAATGAGTGTTGATAGCACCTCATCCTCTGCCTGATGGAGTCTAAGGTAGAAATTCAATATTTAGGGGCCTCATTTCAAGGCTTCCCCGATATCTGTGAAGACTCATCACCTTCTGCTTGTCTTTCTTTGCCTCAATACAGACTTGAGGAATAAACCTGGGTTTCTGGATCTCAAAGCACCCTCAGTGAGATGCGATCAGGTCCCCAAAAATACCTTCCAAGACACCTATTACTGTTATCCAGCAGGAGCAGGATAAGGGGGCCCCAATCCAGAGACCTTTGGAAGAGAAGCACTAAACAGAGGAGGATCCATCTGAACCCCATGGTCCAACACTGCTACCCAAAAAGAGAGGCTGTGGGAGAGTAGCAGGAAAAAAAGAGCTGGAAGGAACCCTAAAGTTGGTCCTACTTTTCCATCTGATAGTCTCCTACCAAAGTAATAAGCCCTGCTTTGGAAAGAGGCAAGGGACACAGGGAGCAAAGCCCCTAAGTATTTAGGTGCCACATTTGCATATGTAAATGCGAATTTAGAGTACACAGAGTTATCCTCAGCTGACAGAGTGCTCACAAGCTGTGATGGTCACAATGAACGGGGGTGTAGGCCTTGGGAGTTCAATGACAGGTGAGACCCTCTTGGGGCGACAGTCATTAAGGTAAGAGGGCTGTCCCCAGCAAAGTCCCCAGTTTATAGTAAGTGTGATGTTTGTGGTATGAAATAATTTTAGTTGGCCATCTTGGGATCACCTTGGGGTCAACTGCCCTGGCTTTTTGCTCCCACTGCTGTCTGTACCTGTTAGCTCAGGACCTTGATCACCACATACCAGTGCTAGCCAAAAACTAAAACCAAGTGTCTTATCAACTTTGTTCCCATGAAATCCAGTATGGTCTTTGCAGAAACACAGCTTTCCTGAAGAGAAGACTGGTTCAGTGATCCTATCCCAGCAAAACCAAGACACGAACACTTGTAACTCTCACTTTTAAGACATGCTGGCAATGCATGAGCAGCAGCATTGAAAGTAAAAATACCCAGGGCGCCCTTTCTATGATAAATAAACTTAAGGGCATAGGACAGAGGGACATGGTGATGTTTCCTTTTGTTCCAGTGCTGGTAATGGCTGTGGGGCTGGAAGATAATTCAGTCACTGAGATCCAGATCCAAACTGCTCCCCAGTTATGCCTACAAGTGACACAGGTGACAACAGTGCTTTCTGTCAGGCAAACCAGCACCACATCCGAGTTTGTTTTCCCAGAAATCTCTGAACCTGTGTTCAGACAGGGGATGGAGAATTTGACACTAAGGATGGCTCTGAATCAGGACAGCAGCTCAGTTCAACCCTGGTCCTGTGTACCAGCCAGCCTCAGCCTTGCCTGTTTGCCTCCAGCTGTGTGCAGAGAAACTCTCTTCTCTCATTTTCCATAGGAGTTAATGCTGCCTTCTCTTCCTCACAGCTGCTCGGCAAGCCCAAGCCAGAAGGACAACAGCATCACTCTGATCTCCATGAAGAACATCAACATGAACAACAGCATGAGTTACCCGCCGTCAGAAAAGGTTTCCCTTTTATGTCTTGCTTTTTAGAGGGTTATTTATCCTGCTGGTTAAGGGCATGCCTTATTCCTTCTCTTATTCCTTCAGAAAGATAATAAAAAGCAGCTGCCACCAAACTCTTGAAGGTCCAAACCAGTTCAGTGAGCCTGGTGAAAAGTTTGGGTGCCCCTCTCAGGTTTATCCAAGCTGCCTGAACTCAAGGCATCAAATATACCCCACGTATATGTGTGCCATCACTGGGGCCAGGCAGCAGAGCTGGAGTGGTTTGTCATTAAATGACGAGGTAGATAAGTCAGCCTTTGTGAAGTGAAGGTCTCACCCTCTAGCCCAAGCTCACCCGCTCCTGCTCTGCAGGCGATATTGGAGCACATTCCCATTAGCACCCTCAGAGCCATTCCCCATGAGTTATTCACATCATTTTCAGCCATTTTAAAGCTGGGATTGAGTTCAAGAAAGCACGTTGCTTAACTTCTTTTGCCAGCCCAAGCAGGCTCCTGATGCACCGTGTTTTGTTCCTTTTGCAGGTGCTATGAAGCCAAGGGCCCAGGGCTTGAAGCTGACACGTGACAACCAGCGGTGACTTTCTAGGTTCCTTTTTATTTCCTCTGGGGAAAGAGCAAGGGTAGACTTTACACATAAATTATTACACCCTTTCTGATCAATACCTTTACAGTAGCAACCCACATAGCTTCCCCACCTGGGGTCTAAGGGCTTTCTCCAGTTACAGCCTGCTAAGCTCAATGGTTGGTATCTAACTCTATTCAAAGACTGAGTATTCCAGCAGCAGGAATAGCACCAAGGCATCATCTACTTCACTAATAAACCTCTGCCCTAGATGAACGGCCTTTATAGTCTGTGCCAGCCAGTCACAGGCTCGTTAATCAGCATAGTCCCACATTGAGTCCATTAGGAAAGCCCAATCTGAGGCTGAAGGACTAATGGGACGCCAGTGGCCCAGTGCTGGGCCAAATCCCAGCATGACTGCTCCAAGTCCCTCCTCCTTGGTGGCCTCATTGTCCCCACAGCAGTGGGGATGATCATATCCACCTACCTCACAGGGTTGTTGTGAGGCTATGTTGATCAATGGCTGTACAGCATTTGGAGAGCCGTGAATTAAAGGTGCTGCTGAAATGCAAATTGCTATCCTAAATACTTTATTATTACTAACCAAGCTTCAGGCAGGCAGATCGCTATCTTCTCACAGGTCCAGTGTGCTCGAAGAAGACTCATCTCCACGTGGCCCTAAGAGGAACGATGTGCTTTTGGGTATCTCTGGAGGTCTCAGCTGCTTTATTCGGCAGCGTAACGTACTAAAGCACTAACTCTGCAGCCACCTTTGCCTCTGCCCATCTGCACCATGACTCCAGTTTGCAAGCTTCACCAGCTCCATGGTCAACACAGACCTCCAGAGCACCTCATCTACCCAACAGCAGTGTGCTGGGATACTGCCTTCTCCTACACAAGCATCAACATCCATCAGCCCTGAAGGTAAACTGTGAAGTTAGGGAGAAAAAGATCCAGCCAAGCACTCAAAATAGGTGTTGCTGCACACATTCTCCTACACAGTTCAATGAAACATAATGATTTACCCTGATTTAATGTTATAGGCTGGATAAGAGATGTTTACTGGAATGTGCAGGGCTAGAGGTAGCCGTGCTTTACAGCTGGCAATGAAGTGTTCAGCAAAATAAAGGCAGTGTTTTCACAGCTCCTGCTAAGATCCAACACACTTTCTATCTTTAACATATGCACCAAGTATTTTGATAAGCTATTTTTTAATAAATGAAGCTTTTCTGGTAAAATTCATGAAAAGCAAGATGACATCACTCCACACACCCAGCCTCCACCAGACCGGTGAATTTGCTTAAGCACAAGATCCCAGGTGATTCCCAGCTGGGTGGATCCTGACCATCACGGTCTCCAGATCCCAGAGGCTCATGACCCAGTGTGTGGAGCACCACAAGCAGGTTTATAGTCCCAGGAAGACACCACAGAGGCAGCTGGGAAGCACTTGTGATATCAGACAGTTCAGTGAGTGTCAAGCTTCAACTAATCTCCCCTCCTGCAAACAAGGAGACAAATCTCCTCAGACCCCTGAAGACTGTCCCATGGGACCTCACTGCTGCTGTAGTTTTCCTTCCTTTAACCCTATTCGTCCCATAGACTCTTGAAGGTCTTAACAAATGACCTGAACCTGCTCCATTCTAAAACTGATCCGCATCCAAAAGCAAAGTTCCAACTTCGCCCTTGTTCAAAGGAAAGACTGAATAAGAAATAAACAACAGAAGTGATGTAACCCCTAACTTCCAGTTGCTGCTGCTCACAGGAGAAGTCTTGTCCAAGCAGCAAAGCATGCTGGTGGAAGACACCCTGACTCAGGGGGGACCTGGGTCTCTACTACTACCTGAAGGGAGGTTGTAGTCACATGGGGGTCAGGCTCTTGTCCTAAGCAACTCATGACAAGACGAGAAAGCATAGCCTGAAGCTGCGCCAGGGGAGGTTTAGGCTGGATGTTAGAAAGCACTTTTTCACAGAAAAGGTGATCAGGCATTGGAATGGACTGCCCAGGGAGGTGGTGAATCAGCACCCTGGAGGTGTTTAAGGAGAGGCTGGATGGATCAGCATCCCTGGAGGTGTTTAAGGAGAGGCTGGATGTGGCACTTAGTGCCATGGTCTGGCCAGTGTGGTGGTGTTAGGTCATGGGCTGGACTTGATGGTCTCAGAGGTCTTGTCCAAGCTGCTGTGCTCCACGCTGGTGGAAGACACTGTGACTCTACTGCTTACAGGTCATTAGCCCAGCTTTAATCGGCTTGTGGGATGGGAGGAAACCAGCAGCAGCATTAGCAACGCATGAGCACAGCTGGAAGGAGCTACAGAACAAGCCCTGAGGGGTTTCCCAGCAAAGCCTGGTCAGCAGTGTTGGGTTGACAATTGGATTTGATGACCTTAGAGGTCTTCTCCAACCCAATGACCCTATGAAGGCGTGGAGGAGGTGTTCCTCCAGGCTCCTTCCAGCCTCGACACAAAGGCCCAAGGCCATCTCCTGTGGGATGCTTCCTGCGGGAAGCGCCTCCAGTGCCGGCACAGTGATGTCATTTCCAGACGCCGTGACCTCACCAGTTTGGCCTGGGACGCGCTG